AGCTTCCTTATTTTTTTTTTTTTTTTTTTTTGAGACAGGATCTCACTATGTATTTGAAGTCGACCTGGAACTCACTATGTAGTCCCAGAGGGTCTCAAACTCAGAGCAATCCTCCTGCCTCAGCCTCCCGAGCGCTGGGATTACAGGTGTGCGCCACCAGTTCTGGCTTTCCTTATTCTTTTTATAACAGCACAGCAGTTTACTCTATGAATGGTCTAGAATTTAATCCTCTATAAGTGAAACTTTTATATTCCTTGTCTGCTAAAAAAAAAAAAAATCCTAGATAATACTGCCCTGAATATCTTTGTACATGCCTATATCCTTGGGCATTTACATAAATGCTCTTGTAAAATAAAGTCCTAGATGTTAAACTGGTAAGTCCCAGGGTAGGGGCATTGAAAATGTAGTTGATGAGGGCTAATTGCTGCTCAGTGGGTGCTAATTTCCTTTCCCTGAGCTCCTGAGCTCGGTGAGAGGCGGCCTGTTGTTACCAAGCTTCCTATTCTTTGCCAAGTTGATAAGCAAACATTACATCTTGTTTTAACTTGCATCTAAAATTATTAGAGAGCCTGAACATTGTATGAATTTTTATTAGCTGGTTCTGTTTTTTGTGATGGCTTTACATTCTTTGCCTATATTTTTCCATTCAATCAGTGGTCTTGTCTTTATTGTTTTAAAAATATGTCCTTTTTAAATTAGGAAATCAGCTCACTATCATCCTCCTTACAGGTATTTTTCTCTTATTCTGGTCTTCGATGTTTTTCTTCCTTTAATGGCTTTGTGGTTACTTTATTGATCTTCTGTTTTGTCCCATAACTAAGGAAGTTGTTACTCTGGGATCATAAGAACATTTACACATAGTTTTCTTTTCCCCCTCTGTGGCTTTCATGGCTTAAGTTTTCAAATGTTTTTCTTACTTTACATCTTTGATCCTGTTGAAATTTATTTCAGTGTAGGAGTGAGGTAGAGAATCCAGATTTATTTACTTTTGATCCAAATATCTGGCCAGTGACTCAGTTGATTGAATTGAATTCTCATGTTTATGTGGGTCTCTTTAAGATCAATTTCTTTATTCTTTAAAACTGAGCTGTCTGCGGGCAATGGTCCCACGCTCCTTCGATTACTGTGGCTGTGTAATATTGTGAAGAGTGCTGTTTAGGGTCACTCCTGCTTTGTTAGTTTACTTTTTTTTTTCATCCAGGAAATTTCTGGATATTCTTTTATATTATTTTCCCAGATGAATTTGAAGTGACTTTGTTGAGTTATCCCAGAAAAAAGCCACTGCAATTTTATACAGGAAACTATTGAATTTATAGTTTGATTATGGTGATACCAATATGCTCACAGTATTATTAACTTTTTGTTCGGTAACAGTCTCTCTTTATTCAAATCAATCTTTAAGCTCCCCATTTGGGTTTTTTAGCTATTTCCACATCTCTCTGCACACTTAAAGACTAGCTTTGTTTTTGTTTTCATGAATAGGACCTTTTAAATATATTCTTTAGTTATTATTAGTTTTTGTATTTAGGAAGTCTATCTTATTTTTAAACTAGCTGCTTTGTTAAATTCTAGGATTAATGCTAAAATTTCTTTAGCTGATTCACTTGGAATGTTCAAGTATAGAATAAGATCATCCCATCATGTATAATGATGTATGCCTGCCATACCAGCACTCAGGAGGCTGAGGCAGGAGAATCACACCGAGAGTACAAGGCCAGCCTGAAACCCTGTGTCAAAAAACAAACCAAATCAAAAAACCCTAAAAACAAAAAAGAATAATATCATGATAATGACTTTGCTTTCTACAGTATGTGTACTTCTTATCTTATCCTCTTATCTGATTGGGTTTAAGAAAAAAAATCCCACAGCAAGGTTAAGTACGATGGTATTTCATGGTGACAGCAAACATTGCCATTAATAGGATTACTTCAGTTTCCCCACTAAACACTTTGGAGAAAATCTTTATTTTCCATATTCATCAGCGGGTGGTGGTTGGTTTCCCTCAGCTCAGCTTTCCCACCCTTCTGCAAGGGCCCCTCAGTCCCGACCGAGCCCCATGCTAATGCAGTCCCGATCCAGTCTTGCTTCCTGTGTAGGCAGCGTCCTGTCATGGTGACCAAAGGCTCGAGATAATCAGCCTGGAAGGAGGGAAGGTTTACTTTGGCGGTGGCTTCAGAGACGGTCGTCCATGCCACCTGGCCCCACGCCTTTGGGCCGTGGCCACCGTGGGATGGGAATTGTGTGGTGGAGGGGCCAGCTCACCTCTCGGGGGCACACACAGGTCCAGACCTCCCCAGAGACCTCCTCCTTACAAGTGGGGCCACCAGGACAGGGACGCAGGCCTGCAAACTGGGCCTTTCTACTTGTGCGCTGATGAGCGGACCTCAGGGCGACCTTGAGCTCGCCTTGGGGGAGAATGACTGGAGCCTTGGGTCGCCAGGTGTGGGGTTCTGGTCCTGGCTGGGGAGGGAAGTGGTGGCGGCAGGGCTCTAGGCCGAGGGGCAGCCAGGGGGTGATGGCCTGAGGTGGTCACGTGCAAGGGTTCTGGAAGGAGTGCGCACTCCCTGCCCCCAAGCCCCCTCCAGGGTCCCTGGAGTGTCCTTTGGTCCCAAATGACGCCCTCACACCCCTCCCTGAAGGTCCTGAGGCCCTGTCCTCTGGCCGTGACCTTTGCTTCCGGTCCTGGCTGACCTCATCAACACCCTGGATGACCCCTGCCAGGTCTGGGGCTCGCTGGGAAGGGAAAGAGGGGATTTTCCAGGGTGGCCACAGGGGGCCCAGGGGCTAGTGGTGGCAGAGGGCACCTGTGTGAGGGATGGGCTGAGGCCAGGTGGCCAGAGAGTGCCTGTTCTGCTCACAGTCATCTGCAGGGGGATGGGGGAGCCAGACCTCAATCAGCCCAGACCCCTGTGACCCCGAAGTCCCTGGTGCTGGGGGGAGGGAGGAGCCAGTTCACAGCTGTGTTTCTGTTACCTGAGGAGGTAACACATCCCTTTCCTTTTCTCACCAGGGAAGACCAAGAGCACACAGCTGTTGGGTAAACAGAGTCCCCCACGGAGTGAGGGGAGTGTGTTTGGTCCCAGACAGTCAGACAGCAGAAGAAAGACAGGCTCCTGGCTCCTGACCCAGGATGCAGGATGCAGGCTATGCTTCGAACATTAAAGGATTCTTTTTTTTTTTTTTTTCAGTAGTAGGAATTGAACCCAGGATCTCTGCACTGAGCTACATACCTAGCCTTTTTTCAGTTTCTAATTTTGAGATAGGATCTTGCTATCTTGCTGAGTTGAACTTGCAAATTTCTTGTCTCAGCCTCCTAAAACTGTGGGATTACAGGCTTGTCCCACCACTAAAAGATTCTTGAGGTGTTTCCTGCTGCTTTTGGTGCATCGGAGTGGGGACATCTGGAGCTGACCCTGTTTCTCAGCTGCTGGAGACATCTGGCCAGCAGGACAGGGACTCTGCCATCCAACTAGGACTCGGGCAAAAAGAGCCAGGACAAGAACTTTGGCAGTTCAGGACCCTGTGTGGGCACTCAGGATGGGGATTTGGACAGAAAAGGTAAGATGGGCCCCAGGGGTTGGCTCTGGACTCAGATGAGAAAGACCGGGTCCCAGGAACCAGGAAGGTGTGGAGCGGCGTGCAGAGGGAGGCTGGGGCATCTGTGCTGCCTCCCCCGCCACAGCCACAGCCAGGAGGGCTTTCCCTGGAACAGGCTTGCGACACTCAGCAGATTCCTGACTGATGTGGCTTCCTGTGGAACAGTAGGTGCCACTGGTGGGCCCGGTTTAGTGCCCTGGCATGAGTCGTACTCATTTCCAGTCTTCTCAATTTCTGCACCAGGCCCAGGCCTTGGGGGGAAGCTTCGAGTAAACGCATCCCAGATGTGCTGCAGGAGACGAGGCCAAGAGGGTGAGATGACTGGTTGGTGAGAAAACAATCTGATTTCCTTGGAAAAGCATCCCATTGTGGGCAGACACCCCAGGGTTGGACTCTTGAGGGGACCAGAGGCCCTACTCTCTCCCCTGAGACCAGGGACTCTGGGCTTGGAGGTAGCCTTTTCAAAGTGTACCGGAAGCAGAGGAGGATCCTTCAGGAAAGGAAGACAGGGGAGACATGGTGGGGTGGGGTCAGAGAGCAAAGAACTTAGGGGCTCTGCAGATGAGGGCAGGTGGGCCTGGGTGGCCCAGGAGAGACCCCGATTGATGTTAAGGTCTGAAACCTTAACCATCTCTGCAAAGTCCCCTTTGCCTGGTAACAGAACCCATGTATGTGTTCCAGGCACTGGGGCGCGGACGTCTTCGTGGGAGGAGGGGCGTTTATTTGGCTACCACTGTGTTTATACATTCAATCAGCTCTCCAGGCTCATTATCTTTGTAAGGAAATATTTGTAAACGTGTGCAGTGCTGTCTGCTGGCAACCCTGTGTCATTTCCCTCCCTTGGTCTGCTCTGCCCTGCCTGGCCGGGGCTGGAAGAGAAAACTACTGAGCCCAGATCCCCACCAGCCAGGAAAGGCCCATCTGCAGGCTTAGATGGAAGAGAAGCACCGTTCAGTGCTGTTTACCTGGCAGCTGCAGGCGAATGCGTGGGCTCCAGCCCTGCTCCCAGGGTGTGCGGACATCTCCAAGTATTTTCTGGGGGCTCAGATAGCCATCAGCACCACAGGCTGGCCCTTTCCCAGCTCTGCAAACATCCAGCCCCCTGCACTAAGCCCCTTTCTGCTTGAAATACCTGAAGCAGTCTCCATGCCCCTAATGGGCTGATGCAGGGACCTCACTGAGGGAACGCTTCATAACCTGTTTGCTTTCACTTCCTAAGTGATTATGCTAAACCTGCCCATAGGTGTTCAGCGGCCACCAGGACGTGGGTGTGGGCAGCTGCCGGCTCACCTGTGCTTGAATGCTCATAGTTTATTTAACCAGCCCATTATTAGCTATTAAGTTTCTTTCTCTGTTTTAGACTTTTAAACCCCACACTGTGCAGAATGGCTCTTGGCCGTGTCCTCCCAACCCTCCCTCTCTGCCTCTCCTGCATATCCTCGGCCCCTGAACTCTACATGGCCCCAGCTCAGCCCTTGCAAATCTCCTCCTTGTCTAGTTTTCCCTGAGTGAGCAACTCGCTGTCAGTGCCTTAAATACTGGTCCCTTCCCTTGATCCTTTCTTTTATATCTCAGGAACTCTAGGCAAGATAACAATGTTGTCTGCCTCACACCTCTACCCCAGTGTCTGAAGAGAATATAAAAATTGCCACGTACCACGGGGTATGGTGACACACGCCTGTGATCCCAGCTACGTGGGAGGCTGAGGCTGGAGGGTTGCAAGTTCAAGGCCAACCTCGGCAACTTAGGCTCTATTTCAAAATAAAAAATAAAAAGCGCAAGGACCTAAGCTCAATCCCCAGTACCAAAAAATGAATAAAAAATAAAAATAAAAATAAAAAGAGCTGGGATGTAGCTCAGTGTGAAGGCGCTGGGTTCAATCTCCGGTACTGAGAAATGAAACAAAACATAGAACAAAGAGCCCAGGCAAGTGCCTCTCTGGGGCCTGACTTTCCTTCTCAAACCTGCGTCCCCCGCCCTCTGCCCCACCTCTGTACTCACATCCTCTCCCTCCAAAGCCTCCTCCGCCCCTCTCACACACTCAGTCCCCTCAGTGAGCGAATCCTCACCCACTCCTGTACCTGCATCTCCTGTAACCCCAGCCCCGCCATTGCCATTGCCCCAAGCCCCGGCTTGTACCCTCCCCAGCCAACTTCCCGCAGCAGCCCTCGGGCTCTGCTGGGCCCAGCTGTGCTCAGAGACCCCGGGGAATCATAAGCCTGGTGCAGCCCCCTCAGCCCAGCCCCCTCGGACTCCCCTCTCCTTCAGTGTCTGAGAGAGACCCATACAGCCCCACTCTCACACCTGTGCAGCCACCCCTCAGCTCCCCGACACAGCCTCTTCCATTCCACTCCATATACGCAGGTGGGCAGCTGTGTTTAGTCTGCTGCGGCCACCACGAGGAGGCTGGAGGACAGCAGGCACCAGAGAGAAGGCTGGGAATGCGATGATGACCTTGGCATTGCCCTTCACCTGTGGAGCAGAGCCTGGTGAACCGTCCGGTGTGGGCGCTGCGTGCAGCATGGCACAGTTCTCAGCGTGCTCTGTCCCCCTGGCTGCCTCCTGTCCCATCTACACTGCATCTGTAAAAGGCAGGACAAGGTTACCAACCCACAGGATGGGGTCAGAATTCGACCAAGCACTTCAAGCAAATGATCACACAGTGCTGGGCTAAATAACTGCAAGCTAGTTTTTGCCCATCTAATTAATCAGTTAATTTCTGGCACTGGGGATCAAACCCAGGGCCTTCCCATTGGGCTGCATCCCAGGCCATTTTAGTTTTCATTTTGAGGTAGGATCTGGATAAGGTGCCAAATTGCTCAGGCCGGGCTGGAACTTTTACCCCTCCTGCCTCAGCCTCCCGGAGTGCTGGGGTTATGAGGAAGCATCACCCCACCCCATTTACTTTCGTCTCATTTTACAGCAGAGGAATCTGAGGCTCAGAAAATTTGGGAATCTGCTCTTGGTCACACATGAGAGGCGGAGGGAAGTGTGAGCCCAAGACCCCGATTCATCCTGCTTTTCCCAAGAAATCAGACTTGGATAATAACCTGGCTGGGGCTGCGGCCTCTCCCGGGCTCTAAGGCTGGAGCCCTTTGCCGCCTCCTGGTGACTCTAGTTTAAATCCTCCCAGTGACCCTGGCCAACTCTCCAGCTCACCCGTGTGAATATCTCAGGCTCTGGATCCAGACGGATACAGCCAGGCCCCGTGCCATTTGCCACACTGGGACCAAGGTGATTGTGGGACCAAGGTCACATCAGGCCCACTGCAATCCCAATTCAGGCAACAGCGTGCCCAGAAAAAGCCCAGCTCTCCTGGCTCCTTGGCAGCTAGGGTGGGCCTTGCTACATGAGTCTGGTGGTCAGATGTCAATGAATGTCGACCGTTGGTTTTACTGATGTAAAGGGAGGAATTTTCAGCTGGTACCATGCTCTGCTCTTTTTCTCCTAGAATGTGATTGTGATGACTGGAGGCCCAGCAGCCATGTTGTGAGCATGAGGGGAAAAGCCATATGCTTGGGTTAGGGGGATAGAAAACTAGAGGGAACTGGGGCCACAGGTGACAGCATGGACATAAGAGCCCAGTCTTGGTTCCCTGTCCTCTGTGAGCAAAACAAGCACTACTCAGTTGTGCCTCTGAGGCCAGGAAAAAAGGAAGTACCCAGCACTTGGGGGTAGGCATTGCTCTTGTCTTCACTCCCTCCTGACCTTGGCCTTGGCCTCCTTCTTGTCCTTCTGAGAATGTCCTCTTGTCCCTAGAGGACCCACGCTCCTTGTACTGGAAGGGCCCTGAGACCAAGACCTCTTGCCTGGCTGCTGGGAGGCAGGTGGCTCATAGGGCACAGTTGGGCAGTGGAGACAGATGGTGCCCGGAAGGCGCAGATTCGATTACCTGCTTCTTCCCCAAGCCAATTCACCGTAATCGCGTTAGGGCCATTATTGATTGGCCTCCTCTAGGCCACAGCTGGAGATCGGGTTTGTTTGTGACTTGTTATATCCGCTGGGAGGGAGATGGGGGCCTGGGGCCGGCTGCTCAGAAGTCCAGGGAGGAGGCGGGAGGAGGCCGGTGCTGTGGGGACATCAACCAGGGCCGAGTCAGGACTCGGTGACAAGGGCCTGGAGTGCCCTGCGGGAGCCCAGAAGGTACCTGAGCAAGGACAGTGCAGAGAAAGTACTTTAGGAGAAGGGGGGCAAGAGGTGTGGCAAAAAGCAGGCCAGGCAGGACCCCAACTGCCCCGGAAGTGGATGGAAGATGGACCTGGGGGCCCGGGCTCACAGGCTTGGATAGGGGCACAGACACAGGCTTCACCTGTGTTTACCCTCCTGCAGCACCGGATGTGACCCATGGGGCTACTCCGTGCATCTACCGGGGACACCGCAGTGGGACAGTCATGGCTGCTGTCACAGGTTTGAGGCCCGCACACTCTCCACAGAGCCTCACAACCCCCCAAGGCTCAAGACGCCAGGGGTACTGCATGGGGGGCAAGGAGAGGGCCCTTTCTCACGGCAGGTCCCTACATCCCGGGTGCTGTGTCCTGCTGTAACCACGGACCACGGGCAGGGAACATGGTCCAGCTGCACGCGGCTGCTCCCTGCGCCACCGCCTGAGTCGGGCTCCTGTATTCCCGGACTCTGTTTCTCTAATCCTGGGATTAGTGAGAGGGGAATTGGCAGCGATCACAACAGCTGCTCGGCGTGGAAACATTCTCCAGGCTCCCCAGCCTGCCCTGCCTGGCTCCCTGCACACCCCAGACCTCCAGCAATCCGGGCTGAGTTGGGGCTGTGGGCCAGGGGGTATCAGGGCCAGGTTGCACCCGGGTTGCCCATCTTGCCCAGGAAGAGCACAGGCGGGGATCATGTCCCTGTGGGAAGCCAAGAGGACCAGGAGTGACTGGGTCCCAGCCAGCCCCTAATCCCTCGATCACACTCCCTTCCTTAAGGATTTTTCCCTGGAAAAAATCTGCTTCATGTTCCCAGCTGGGAGATGATGAATGGGCGGGGATAGGGCTGGGGATAACGATGGAGTTGGGCAGAAGGCACCCCAGCTGCTCATCTGTTCAGCACAGGGCTGCGCCCCTGACCACCAGCCCCAGGCCAGGCCCCAAGTGCCGGTCCGTGTTGCTCTTCTGTCCTCACAGCAGGCGACCCCGACAGGAGCCTGCAGTATCCAGCAGGAAGTCTCACGTTGGCGAGTGTCATTGTGGTGTGGTGGGCAGCGATGGAGGTGGTCACAGTGGTAGCCATGGTGGGCGTGATGACGGTGACAGTGTGGGGTGACAGGGCGGTCAGTTGTCATGGAAACGCCGAAACCGCGATGAACATGGATGAGGCTGGCCAAAGGGTGGGCTTCCGGGCTCCCCTGCAGTCACCTGGGCAAGTCACCTCTCCAACCCTCACTTTCCCTGCTGGAAATGTGAGCAAGTGGTGGCATTCAGGGCTCAGAGCCCAGTGTTCTGGGCAGGGAAGGGCACAGACCCCTCAGTTCTCCAGTTTTGGGGCTGCTTCAATCCTGTCTACTGCGAGTCCTTCGCTCTGCCCGCAGACTTCCTCCTGCCATTCCCGTGGGCTCTTGCCTGAATCAGCCTCTCCATCCTTCCTTTGGGGCCCCACACATTCTAGAATCGCAGACTCCGTGCCCACCTGCTTCCTGCACCCACCCCCTCCTTCCCTGGCCCGCTGCTCCCTGGGTTCCCAGCACCACGGAAGGAAGCCGAAGGCTGCACTCTCCAAGCCACGGCTCAGCCTCAATTTCCTGGGGTGTGTGTGCCGAGGAGTTCTGTCTCCGGCCGCCACAGCTTTCCCCCAAGGCCTCCAGAAGCCAGCAGCAGACCTCCTTCTGCCCTCAATGGGGTCCCTCGCTCAAGGCCTCGGCCCGGAGGTTGGTGCTGATTCAGCCTCACTTCTCCACATGTGGCCATCACAGTTCCAAGTGCAGCCTGGCCACAGCAGGCAGCAGGTTGGTCTGCTCAGAGCCGGCACCCTGCTGGGCTTCTCCAATTCCTTAAGTAGAGGTGCGTGGCCCTGAGCCCCTAGTTCTCCCCAGATCCACCTGTTCTCCTGGGCCCGGCACCCCACAATCCCTCTCCCTTACCACCAACTGGTTGGTCCTCCAGTCCCCTTGCCATGATTCTCTTAAGAGGAACACAGAATCTGATTTTATTTTCGAGCCATGAAACCAGTTCATCATTTAACTTTACTCTTTTAAAAACCTATTATCCTGATCAGTCCTCTTTGGTATTAATGCCAATGAATTATTATATAAATCTTGAATCTTTTTTTAACTCAGAAAAATAAACTCTGTGAGGACGATCCATCATATATTAATCTGTGTTGTATAAACTTAGTTTTTAAAAACTAAAAAGCCTCTTAGACATTGATGTGAGTACCCCCAGCACTCCCTGCAGCTGTGTGCTCCCTTTCAGTAACTGCAGCTTAGGATGTGGGGATCCACTTCCTGCTGAGGGCAACTAGAAGAGTTGTATATTTAACAGCACACTGGGAAGCCGGGCATGGTGGTACATGTCTGTAGTCCCAGACCTCTGGGAGGCTGAGGCAGGAGGGTTGCAAGTTCCAGCCCAGCCCGTTCAATTTAGCAAGACCTTATCTCAAAATAACAAACATAAAAAGGCTGAGGAATGTAGTTCAGCGTGAAGGCTCTGGGTTCAATCCCCAGCACTGAAAATAATATAACATAACATAAAATAAATATAATAAAGCAGACTGAAGCACTAATAAGATAAACCTAACCATGGGGAATTCCTGGGCCAGGATGTAGAGGAGGCTGAGATGAGGAGGTGAGCCTGGGCTTGGCAATGCTTTTCCATCAGCTGTCTAAGTGCCCATTGCCCCACTGAGGATCATCTGTGTTTTTCTCTGGTTATGTTTTAATCCCTTTGTCTTCGGACTCACTCTGATGGTGAAAGGTGTGCTCCTTTTTACCTGTGCTGCTCAGTGGAGGAAGTGGTTGAAGCTAAATGAGGGATGGTGCCTTCTTGCAGAAAGGATTTAGTGTCATGAGACTACAGGGGGGTTTGGTGCACCGCTGGTTTGGGTGAAGACTGTGAAGTCCTGCTGTGGTGGCAGAGGATGAACTGGAAGAAGGCAGGTTGCAGGGCCTGCAGCCTTGACACATCTCAGCTCCTGCCCCGGATTAGGGGGATCCGGGTTTACTGGTGCCCTTCAGCTCCCATAAGTCTTCTGTGCAAGAAGACACCATGCTCTGGCAGATGAGTTCCAAAAGCAATTTTGCAACTATAGTGTCCAGGACACAAACAATAAAACAACAAGAAACAACCCATAAAAGAATAAACATACACACACACACACACACACACACACACACACGCCAAGTATGAAACCAAAAAATAAAGAGGAGACATATGATGAAGACAGACAACACTAATAAAACATAAAAGAAAACACGAATGGGATGTTGTACACATCTCTAATCTCAGCACTTTGGGAGGCTGAGCCAGGAGGATTGCAGGTTTCAGCCCAGCCTGGGCAACTCAGCAATTTAGTGAGGCTCTTTCTCAAAATGTGAAAAAAGAGGTCTGTGAATATAGTTCAGTCCGAAGACTTTGGGTTCACTCCCCAGTACACAAAACCAAACAAATACAACAGGAGCGCTGGATGTTGGAATCATCAGGTGAATATTTTTAAAAATTCTTAAATACTTACAAGGGAATAAAACACATGATGGAGATAAGAGTAGCTGAGAATTTTGGTAGAGAATGAAAGCTCTTTAAAATGTGAAAGTTCTAGAAAAATTGTCTGAAACTAAGCACTCAACGTATAGGGTTTAAATGAAGGAAATGAGCCAATAAGTTAGAAGATAGATCAAAAAACAGTATCACAACACAAGGTGAAAAGGTAAAAGGATGGAGAATACAGCAAGGAGTCAAAGGGACATGAAGGAGACTGTGAAGGGTGGAAGAGTACAGGGCAAAAACATCACATGTGAATGGACAATGGCCTGATCTTCCTAAGACCAAGGAGTGGTCAGTCTGTATGCGCTCTGAGCTCCAAGAACCTACAGCAGCACAGGTAAAAAGGAGCACACCTTTCACCGTCAGAGTGAGCCCGAAGACAAAGCTATTAAAATATAACCAGAGAAAAGCACAGATGATCTTCAGTGGGGCAATGGGCACTTAGACAGCTGACTTCTTCAGGGTAACGGTGGAAGCCAGGGGAGATAGAACCTTTTAGGGGCACCACGGGCGAGGATAAGCAGCACATCGGACAGATGTGCGGGCATTTCCTTCACACACAGTCCGCCCCCAGCAGGCACCAGCCAGGTGTCCTACAGTGTAACCCAGTTCCGAGGCTAGCCCGAGTCAGCGTGGATCCCACAGGTGAAGAGGCTCAGCCCCTCCTCAGGTGCCATTTGTAGGTCCAGACGATGACTGATTAATCAGTTTTTTTCTATGACCTTTTCACTTTTTGTCTTTGTGGCTGACAGAGATCTCCACCAGGGTAAAAAACCACCACGATTCAACCTGTAACTATTGGGTTTTTTTTTCTGTCTTTCTTTTAAAAAAATGTTTCCCTTTTATAATTAGTGCCTATTAATTTTACAAAACATTCGGTTCCAGTGTGGATAATATATCTTGATCTTATCCGTCTCCCCTATTATACCCGCTCACTCCCTCTCTTCCCTTCCTTTTATCTAATAATAGTCTTCCCTCTACTTTCATGTCACATTTTTTTTCTTAGATTCCATTTATCTGGGCGTATGTGGTATTTGTCTTCCTGAGTCTGGTTTATTTCTCTCACATGCTGCTGTTCCCCAGTTCTTTCTGTGATCTGCTCTCCTGATCAGGTAGTTGGTAACTGAGGGGCTCCCCCCTCAGGTTCAATTCCTTGGCCAGAGAGGCTCCTAGAACTCAGGGTAAAACTTGACTTTCTATTCGACTTTGTTACACGGAATATTTGAGAGGCTACATGTGAATAACCGAAAGAAGAGATTTCACAGGACAAAGTGTGTGGGAAAGAGCACAGTACATTCATGCCCGCTCTCTCTTTTTTCTCACAAAAGTAAAATCTGAGAGAATCTGGGCATGGTAGTGTGCACCTACAGCCCAGCTTCTTGGGAGACTGAGGCAGGAGGACCACTGGGGCCCCAGGAGTTCATGACAGTTTGGGCAGCATAGGAAGACCCTGCCTCGATTGAAAAATATTTTTTAAATATCTGAGAGAATTCATTACTAGCAGACTCATATTAATAGGATGATTTTGAGACAACAACAATCCTGAATGGAAGTTCAGAGAAGGAGGAAGGACAATGAAATGACAAAAGTATGAGTAAATATCAAATAATATTGGCTACATATACAGTAATAATAATGATGGTTTGGGGAACTTCAGGTTCAGAGGTCCTGGCGTGCATTTTGAGGAAGTCAGCTTTGTTATAAATGCATGCTATAATCTCTGGACAGTTATTAAAAATTATAAAAGAGTGAGTAACTTCCAAATTAATAGAGAGAAATAATTGAATAATCTAATTCCAAGAGAAGGCAAAGAAGGAAGAGGGAAAAAAAGAACTCAGCCAAGTAGGATATTTAGTGCATAATTAAGACAACAGGCTTTTAAAAATCCAAATACAAAAGTAATTTCATTATATATAAAATGACTACATTTTCCCATTAAAACACAACAATTTTCAGACTTATTTTGGATAGGAACAAAATCTAACTGCTTGTTTACCTAGATGTGCTGCAATATAGAGATGAAGGCAGATAAGGAGTGGGAAAAGGTCTAACACCGAATGCTAACAAGAGCTATGTTAAAATAGACTAAATAGTAAAGCAAAAGCATTACCACGTGTAAAGAGAGCTCACAATGATACAACGTTCAGCTCCCCACTGAGACGTGATGGCTGTATACCTATGCTCCTGACCAGCAGAATCATTTCAGGTTCCTTCCCTGACTTCCGGGGCTCCCAAGAGCAAGGCGTTTTAGTGCTGGGGTCCTCTCTGAGATACTCTGTCCGGTTCCCTCCGGGAGTTGGGTTTAGGTAGGAAGCCCCTCGGCTAACTCACTCCTCTCCTAAGTAAAGTACAGTGTTGCAAGCGCTGCTCAGGCCCCGCCCCATCTCTGCATGGCTGCCTGGTGAACCCGCTCCTGGGTGAGCATGCTGGACTGCAGCACCCCCCCAGCAACCCTCCACAGCTTCCGC